AATTGTTAAATTCGAGCAAAAGAAATGGATGGCACCCTACGTGAAACTTTGTACTGAAATGAGACGAAACGCAACAAATGAGTTTGAAAAAGCGTTTTGGAAACTCGCTATCAATTCTGTTTTTGGAAAATGTATGGAAAACGTGAGAAAACGTATGAATATGAAATTGGTGACAACTGATCGACAGGCACATCGTTTAATGATAAAACCTAGTTTTAAAGATCGTACAATTTATTCTAATAATCTAATGGCTATACACATGTTCAAGGAGAAACTTAAATTTGATAAACCCATATATGTAGGATTAGCTATTCTAGATATTTCCAAAACTGTTATGTATAATTTTCACTATAATGTAATGAAGCCTAAGTATGGTTGCAACATTGGATTATGCTACTCCGATACAGATTCCTTAATCTATGAAATTATTACAGACGATTTTATGACTGATCTCACAAATGATTTGTCACCATATTTCGATACATCAAATTTTCCCAAAGATCATCCATGTTTTTCAGAAAGGAGGAAGAATGTACCAGGTTACTTTAAAGATGAATTAAAAAGTTTGATTTTACTTGAATTTGTAACCTTGCGACCGAAACTGTATGATTTTAATGTTGGAGGAAAGGAAACAAAGAAAGCAAAAGGAGTAAAAAAGTATGTGATTGAAAAAAATATGAAAATGGAACATTATATCAGCGTTTTAAAAGCATATTCTAGTCAAAACACTTTTAGTCAGAACAATACAATAACATATCAATCTATGAACACAATTCAATCAGAAAAACATCAAGTATATTCAAAAAAAATTTACAAACTCGCACTTAGTGCAAGCGATGACAAGCGAATAATATTGGAAAATGGGATAGATACAATAGCACATGGTCACTACAAATATTTATGAACATTATAAAATTTAAATATGTAAATAATTTTATACGTTAAAAAAATTATTTAAATAATTCTGTTATTTAGATGGCGCGATTCAACCGTTTCTTGGAAATTTTTCGAACATTTCGTTCACTCAATGTAACTGCAGCAATGCCTGGAGAATTAGCTCTTATTTTTATCTTTGAGACAGACGATGATTTTAATCAAACAATTGATGACGTTTCAGAAACAGATATCATACTATTTTATCATAATAGAGAGCTTGATGATGAAAAACTAAAAGAGATATTTCCATCGTTTGTACCAACGATAGATAATGGTGCCAAGTATGTATATCCCATCGGTCATATACTTGATGGCAATGCACGTATTGTGCTACGCAAGTGGAGGAATGAACATGCAGGTGGTACATACTATGTTAGGAGAAGACCGGATTACGTAGTCATAAATGATATTTTGAAAATATTTCTACATCCATCCATTGAGCAATTCGATATGAATGCTGCAGTATCCATAAACGATAACGGTGAAGTTTTGTCTTTATTGGCATCAAATCCTACATTTAAACGTACTGTATGTGGTGGTCATAAAAAACTAAATATGTACCACTTTGAACGGATAGAGTCTACCATTTTTTCTAGACCGGTATTGGGTATTGTCAATTGCATCCATCATTCAACCACCAATAGAGATGAACGGGTAGAAATGAAGTGTAGACTGGATAAAATCTTCCTCACTGGCTCTGAAAGATCAGCATATAAACTACAAGATCCTAACTGGTTTAACATTTTATATTAGTCAACTAGACACATAAATCTTTAATTTTTAAATATATAACTAAGTTACTATTTTTAATAGTTTAATATAAAGAAATTGTATTTTTTTTTTTTTTAATAAAAATTATTTTACAATATTTTCTGTTTTCACCCATGAGTTATGAGATGAATCTAGTCCTAAATACTTTACATACATTTTTCCTTTTGATCTTTTCAAGACACGTTCTATAAGATATGTATCAGGGTAATTAGTCTTTTTAATTTCTTGCTCATAAAAACATCCTAAAATTAGCTCACCTTTCTCATCAGACAATTTGTAGGTTATAGGATTAGTATCTAAAATGTTGCTAATAGTAAAAATTTCTGTAGTCCAACTTGGCGTGTAAGATTTATTAAAAATGTGTTTATATTTTGATATTCTAACCTTTTCATTTAACTTAAATTTTGGTTTTTTCTCTAAACTTTTGCTAGAATAACTTTTATGTATAACAGAATGAGGAGTTAATCTGGCTTCTTGTGGAGTACAACTAATTGTTCTGTGTCTACTATTATTATATCTGTTTACTAGTTTTGGTAATGCTTTTATCCAGTTCCAACTGCCTTGAGCTGTAAAATTTGTATAAATATAATTTTTTAAAGTTCTAATCACTCGTTCTACCATCCCCGCCTTGATACTACTATAAGTTGAATAATGTTTAATGTTATATTTTTTCATAATATTTTGAAATTTCTCATTATGAAATTCCAATCCAAAATCCGATTGAACAAATTTAGGCTGATGAGTTTTTAATATTTTCATCATCGCATCTTTTATAGTAATTGCTGATTTATTTTTTAAAGGTTCTAACCATACGTATTTAGTAAACGTATCAATAACAACTAAAATATATTTGAAACCACTATTTTTCCTCGAATGCGCCTGCATATCCATTAAATCAATTTGCCAAAGTTCATCCATGAACCTTGTAATAACTTTACGTCTTGGAAATATTTTTCTAGCTGGTCTATGTAATTCGTTGGCTATATCTCTTAAAGAAGTCATAATAGATTAATATGTAAACTAGTTGAAATAATTTTTTTTCTATCACCTTAATTTTTATTACATTATTTTACAGTTCATAATGATTTGCATCAATGATAGAAAATTTATAGAACAAACAATTTATAATTACAACTTGGAAAATATGTCATGTTGTGATTATTACGTTCCTTGGATTCCGGACCATTTAAAACATAAAGAGAAACTCGAGCTGATTAAAGAATATTTTAAGGAGTTGAAGATAGAAGATAAGGATGATGTTGAAGAAGATGAACAAATTGATTATTGGTAATATAAAAAAATGTAAAACATCTTCTATTTTTTTAACCATATATTAAAATATTATAGGTATAGAAAGGATTTACTGAATCAAAAAGAGGATGAAGAAGAAGAAGAAGAAGTACAAATAAACTGGGAAGAGATAGATGAATGGGTAGATAGTATAATTAAAAAACATGACTTATTAATAATTAATTCTAAAAAAATACCATTTCTTTTTTTTAATTTAAATTTAAATTCGTTAAAAAAATACTTTTTAGAAGAAAGTATAAATAATTGTATAGAGGAGGAGTGGTAATGTTTATATATTTTTTTTTTTTTTTTTTTTTAATTAAACAATAATTTTTCGTTCACGAAGTTCTTCAATTATTGATATTATTTCATTACTTACACCTGTATTCCCAGCCTCTTTAGAAGCCATTAAAAGAGCAAGCCTAGACACTAATTCATTTGGATTATCATAATAAATGATTTGTGTATTAGGTTGTACATTCTTATATAATATACCAGATCCTTCTTTTGACTTAAAATCGTCGGACTTTTCTAAGTCAGTAGGTTTTTCAAATGTGATTGGATCTTTTGAATGAGCAGCTTCCGCTGCCTTTGAAGCTATAAAACTGACATCAAGTTTCGCTCTTTTTGTTGTCTTCAATTGTAACATTTTTTCAGTATAATATGGCTTAACAATAAAAGTCCATTTATAAGATTGGCTAGATTTAGGTCCTCCGTTAACATTTAAGTGAACCTCTGTAGCATCTAATATTTTGTAATACGATTTAAAATCCTGACGTGTAGTTAATTTAGGGTTTTTTTCACAAAGTAACGACCATAGACCTGGGGTCCAATCATAGTCTTTGTCTGCTACATAAATTTTATTGTTGGCAATGAATACTGGGAAATTACCAATTTTTAGTTGATTATCAATATTATCATAACGCATACCATAAGATGGATCATATGATCTTCTATTTGGAGGTAATTTCATAAAATTGTTGAATTCATATAATTGAGGATCAGCGTTTTCCTCATTTGTTGTAACAGATAATTCCTCATCAATAACATTATTCATTTTATTGTCATTAACTAGCATATTAAGTGGTTCTATAATCGGTTTAAATGTTTCGTTAAATGTATATTCAGAATCTAAAACACCGCGCTTTAACTCCATAATTTTCCGCTTAATATTATTTTTTGATTCTACCAAATTGTTAAGTAATATTTTGTTTTCTGACATTTTAGCAAACTAAAAAATATTTCAGTTTACACCAAGCTTATATAGACATCAAAACCACGTCTGTACCGACCATCATTAACATTTCTAGTTTTATCTATAACAAGAAAACCATATTTTTCATAGCCCCAACAATAAATACACATTTTTTGAAAATCTAGATAATCCATATCAGTTGAAATATGATCATTAAATATATGTCTTAGATTACGTTCGTCTTGTTTGAACACCACTAATAAATTACAGTTATCGCGTACCAATCGTTTTAAAACTTTAGAATAACTTTGAACTAAAAAGAAAACTGAATTAGCACCAAAATGTCTCCCCATACTAAAATAATCTTGAATGGGTATTTGAGTATCACACAACACATCATCAAAAATAAAAATAGAATTTGGATTCGTTATTTGTGGTTTAACTACTTCTTCAGCTTCCGTAAAAATAAACAGCTTCACTCCTTCTAGACCATCAAAAATTTGTTTCAATAAAATATATTTTTCTTGGTTAAGCGTTTTTGTATACAAATAAACGTTTTCAAATTTTAAACCATTTATATGTGTAAGAAGATTAAACATTACATTTGTTTTACCAGAGCCACTAGATCCAACAATAATACATCGGATACTATCTGGTAGTAAAGGTCCATGTCTTGAGATTGCTTTATTAGAAATTTCTGTGTCTATATTTTTAATATTTAATTTACTATTCTGTTCTATAAAACGCATTTTTTTTTTGTATATATAATAGTTGTGAACTTAGAAAAAATACTTAGTATATATAGGAAATGCCAAGAGTGCAAAAGTGTATAACCGGTAAAGGTCTCGTTAATACACTAATAAATAAACTTCCGTTCGAAGCACATTTACCAGGTTATAAATATTGTGGACCTGGAACAAAACTTGAAAAAAGATTGGCTAGAGGTGATAAACCTATAAATCTTCTTGATGAGGCTTGTCGTGACCACGATATAGCGTATTTAAAAAATAAAGACGTAACAAACCGTAATTTAGCTGATAAAAAATTAGAATTTCAAGCGTGGGATAGGGTGAAAGCAAAAGATAGTTCATTCGGGGAAAAAGCTGCAGCCTACACCGTTACTAACATTATGAAAGCTAAACGTAAAATTGGTATGGGTTGTTGCAAAGCTAAAAAAGGTGGTAAATTAGTTGGAGCAGTAAGAAAAAGAATATCTCGAAGAAAGTCTAAAAAAGTTAGAAAAATTAAGGTACCAAATCAAAGGGGTTCTGCTATACCTTTGATACCAATATTTGCAGGACTTTCAGCCCTCGGTAGTCTTGCGTCTGGTGCAGCAAATATCTATAAAGCTGTTAAAGATTCTAAAACTGGACAAACGAAAAAAATTGGTAAAGGCTTATATTTGAATGTTCGTAATGGTAAAGGTTTATACTTAGACAAATCAGGTTTAGGTGTGAAGAAAAGAAGAAATATTAAGAAAAAAAAACTAATTACTATGCTACCTAATAGACCTCTTTCCTCTCAAGACATTATAAAACATGTTGCACAATTAAAAATTCCACATTTCCGTGGTGTATTTTCACGTGACAGCTTACCAAAAACTATTTTTAAAAACGAATGTGCGGTTATTAACCTTGCTGGAATAAGTCAAAAAGGATCGCATTGGGTTGCTTACTTTAAAAAATATAACAACATATGGTATTTTGATAGCTTTGGTAATTTACCACCACCAATTGAACTCCAAAATCGTTTTAAAGGGTACAATATTTTATATAATTACTCAAAATATCAAAATTATAATACATTTATTTGTGGTCATTTATGTATTGATTTTTTACAATGTATGAATCAACAACAATAAGTTTATCAGGTAACACTACAGAGTTATCAACAAATTTTTTTCCATCACTTACTATAGCTGAGGACTCAGAAATAGCATTATTAAATCTTCAGACATATAATTCTTTTCCTAATATTTATGAAAGCAATAATAAATTGAGAATAATTATAAAGAACAATACAATATTAAATAAACGCGATGTTCCTGTAAGCAGTAGTTCTTCACTAGAATCAGATAAGAATGCTATTGATCATAATCCAAGACATTTATCTAAATATTTCACGGAATCATATACGAGTAATATTAATAAATCTTCCGATTTTTTCTCAAAAAGTAATGAACACATTCTGAGTGAACAAACGGATAAAGAAATCTTAAAGCTTGAAATAGAACCAGGGTGTTATGAACTAAGTCAAATAAATGAATATATTAAAAACATGATTAAAAAAATCCATCCAAATATTGTATTTAGCATATTTCCAAACATCAATACATTTAAATCATATGTTTACTGTTCTGAAACAATCGATTTCACTATTGATAATAGTTTAAGACATGTTTTAGGATTTGATGAAGTAGAATTAGAACCGAATAAATTACACGAATCTCAAAAAACTGTTAATATTAGTATGATTAATTCAATAAAAGTATTATGTAGTATTGCTCAAGGATCATTTGATGGTAACAAACCCTCACACTCAGTCTATGAGTTTTACCCTACAGCAGTACACGGATCAAAAATTGTTGAAGCACCTAGCAACTTAATATATTATCCATTGATAACAAATGAAATAAATAATATAACGGTAAAGTTAGTTGATCAGGATCAAAGACCACTAAAGAATTTAGGTGAAAAAATTACAACAGTTTTTCATATTAGACGGTACGGTTCATAAAATGGGGTTGAAATTTTTTAATTTCCAAAACAAAATATTAGATATAAAGGAACCGTCACATAAAAAATCTTCCATTCCCAAAACGAAATCTAACCGAGCAACAAGGAGAAAAACAAAAATAAATCTTACGTCAAAAAATAAAAATATTTTAAGACAACTTGGATTTGAATTAAAAAGTAATCGAAATGCTTGAAAATGATATTTTGGAAGTTGATATGGGTTATGTGTCAGATTCGAAAATAACTAATTTTGATTTTCACTCATATATTCCTTATAATAAAGCTTTTAATAATAATGATGAAATTAGGATATGTGTACAACAAACTGATGTATACCCATATTTACATGAAAGCTTTTTATACATCGAAGGCGACATTGAAGATAAAGATAAAGTAAAACTAGGTAATAATGGATTATCTTTTCTTTTTGAACAAGTTCGTTTAGAATTAAATGGTATCGAGATAGATAGTTCACGAATGTTAGGTATTACAAGTTCTATCAAAGGATATCTTTCAAGTACACCAGATAATTATTATTGTTATGAAAATGCTGGATGGACTTTCAAAAATAGTTCATCCATATCAGACACAAATGGTCATTTTACAGCATGTATACCACTAAAATACTGGTTAGGCTTTTTTGAGCATTATAGAAAAATTTTATTAAATTCACGAATAGAACTCATATTAACTAGATCAAATAGTGATTTAAATGCATTGATTAAAAAAAGTGATGATGCAACTACAGGTAGTGTGAATATTAAGAATATTGTTTGGAAAGTTCCTCATGTTAGTGTTGATGATAGCCAGCGTCTAAAGTTAATGAAAATAGTTGAAAAAGAAAAACATTTGTTTATACCATTTAGATCATTTGAAACATATACTTACCCTGAACTCGGAAACACGAAAAATGTACTATGGAATTTAAAAACATCAACGAAATTGGAAAAACCTCGTTATATCATTGTAGGCCTCCAAAAAAATCGTAACAATTCAATAACTGCAGACAAAAGCGAATTTGATCATTCTAAGTTGAAAAATATTAAAGTGTTTCTGAACTCAAATGTTTATCCTTATGATAATTTAAATTTAGATTTTACGCACAACGATTTTACATTATTATATAATATGTATACATCGTTTCAAGAATCATATTATGAAAATGGACTTCGAAATCCGATACTAAGTCCAAAATTGTTTTTATCAAATGCTCCAATTATTTTTTTAGATGTTAGTAAACAAAACGATTCTGAAATTTCTTCTACAATTGACTTACGTTTAGAAATAGAAGCTGATGATAATTTAACTGGTGTTAGTGCTTATTGTATGTTAATACACGACCGCATAGTTGAGTATTCGCCATTTACCCGAGAAGTGCGTAAACTCGTATAATATAGTTTTTTTGGTTTTGGTTTTAGTATATAAGAAGTCCTTGTCACTGTTAAGATCTCTATTTTTAAATTAATAATGGATTATTTTGGTCATCATATAAATCATTTCAATGATATCGGAGTTGGTAAATATTTAAATTCGAAATTAATTGATTTAGAAAATAGTATAAAAAATTCTATCTTAGAAACTCAGACTGGTTTAAAAGATAGTTTAGAAAAAAAACTAAATACACATAATGAATCAATAACTAATGTTTCAAAAAATACAATAGAAACAATAAAATCTGAATTAAATAACTCATTCAAAGAATGTATCACTAGTTTGGAAAATAAAATAAATATGACGTTAATGAATGATGAATTAGAAAAAAAATTAGAAAAAAGTTTAGACAAAAAAATGAATGATGCTATGATAAAATTAGTAAATGAAGCTAGGGTTAAATTAAATAAAGATTATTATGAATGAATGATTGTTTAAAACTTTAGATGCTTTTATTTTCTAAATTAACCGATAAAGCATACACGCCGATTAGAGGAAGTCAACATGCGGCTGGATACGATCTAAAAAGTGCATACCAATATATTGTAGTAGCACATGGAAAAGAATTGATTAAGACCGATCTACAAATTGTAGTACCACATGGTACATATGGACGAATTGCACCGAGATCAGGATTAGCATGGAAACATTTTATTGATGTTGGAGGTATGCTTATAACATCTAATCACTAAATAAAATGTTATATATTTTTTTTTTTAAATCCTAGCTGGAGTAATTGATCAAGATTACCGCGGAAACGTTGGTATTCGCCTATTCAATCATTCTGATGTAGACTTTATCGTTCAACGTGGAGATCGAGTAGCACAACTAATATGTGAAAAAATTGTGTATCCAGAACTCAGGGAACTTCGGTCGTTAGATGAAACTGATAGAGGAGAAAAAGGATTCGGTTCTTCAGGATAATTTTCATGTGTGTTAGGTAGAATTTATGTAATTTAAAATTGATTTAGCTTTGAATAATAGAGACAAAAAACCTTTATATAAGTTTATTTTATACTATACAGATTGATAAATCATAAAATATTATAATTATTATGATTAATAAAAGGTATTATACTATATAAAGAGATGTTGTTATTCATTTCTAGTTTAATTTACTACAATTTGTAAAAATGGGCGGTAAAGCCCCAAATTACTACTACTAGTTTGCTTTACAGTAAAATAATATTTAAATCAATTAATTATATATATATAAAATTTTTTTTTTCTCTCTTTCTGTTGTTTATACTAACAACAAATAAAACATCAACACAGCGCGTACTTATATCAAAATTTTAATTTTAATTAATTCATTTTTTTTTTTAATTTTCATTTGTCAAAAAAAATCGGAAATGGAGAAAACATTAGATCAAATGTCGGTTACCGAAATCAGACGCGAATGCGCTTACCGAAACCTGCCGTATACCGCTAGCCGTAACGACCTACAGTGTGTACTAGAGAATGTGATTAGGGACGGAGGCTGTGATCCGTCCACCACCCTTCTACCATCTCGGCCCCCGATTGTTGATAATGCTTTAAATAATATTAATAGTTCTGTCAACCCGAGACCGATAGGCGAGTTAGAAGCGCAACAGTTACACAATGTAGAAGACAATAGTCAATAGAAGACAATAGAGAATGTAGAAGACAATGTAGAAGACAATAGAGAATAGTGATGTCCAACAGGACCCACTAGACCTAACCTACGGCGACCTCGAATATGAGGACTCCCGCCGCCCACTCACTCCCACAAACACATACCAAGCTAGCGCGCCGAATGACCAATTCCCTGACCTTCACACAATTCACTACATACGCTCAGCTAGTGAAGAGATAGGAGCAATTAGGCAAAACATTCGGACGCAAACTTCTATAGGGAATCTGGAACTAAGGATAACCGCTCTTGAAACCGCTTTGTCACGGGTCTTAACTAATCAAACAAAAATTTTTAATAAAATTTCAAGTATTGAACAGGACGTCCAAACGGTTAGGTCAACAAACTGTAGTAGTTTTAGGCCAGTAGTACCTACTGTAACGGTAGAAGATAGGGCCACTCCCACCGCTATTTTGAACGTAAATAGAACTCATATCGATAGTCAGCCCGCCTCACTCCATGGTAGGTTATTACAAACCGAAGAGGAGATCAGGCGAACGGTTAGTCCCCAGCTGACTTTATACGATACGACCTCATTACACCAGTTAGGGAGCAAAGGGACAGCACAGGCCCCTCTAAATAGTACAAGCTGGGACCTAAACTCTAATACAGTCAATAATCGTTTGTATGACTCACAACCCTATAGCTACTCTGTACGACATACGGAAAATGATAGTCGCCCTACGAGTCGACCCAACCGTACCGTACAGTTCGAAAACGATTTTAACGATTCGTCTAGCACTAGGGTAGGGAACCAATCATTACTTATCCCATTTAATGACCTAAAAGCTGCAAGAGCGTCACTTTCTGAGTTTTCTGGTACAAAAGAGGAGGACCCGACACGATTTGTGGCAAATTCTGAATGTATTTTACGTGAAGCAAAAATACATCCAGCCGCATGGGTTAGAGCAGTCGAACCCCAATTAACGGGAACGGCAGCTGCATGGTGGAGAACGGTTAAGGCTCTAGATATGTCTTGGCCTGAATTTAAAGGCAAGTTAGCCGAAAGGTTCAACTGCCCTGACATCCAGTCCCGTCTCCGTGCCGAAATTGTGTCAGTTCGACAAGGTCCACACCAACGACTGACCGATTTTGTCATGGAGAAAAACCAATTATCCCGTCGAATTCAAACAGGTCTCTCCGAACCGCAAATAGTTAGTACTATTGTAGGGCTCATGAGAGACGAATTTAGAATACATGCTAGGCTCCAACACCCCGCGTCGTTCACAGACCTTAGGCGAATAGCTGCAGTCTTAGATAGCTCTTCGTACTCCATACAAGAGACCCAAGACACAGCACCGCCGAGGGACTTGAAGAAGTCCTATTACCCACCTACTAAGTCAAAACCAGTTGACTTAGCAAAACACTCTGGGGCCCACTCGGTAAACAACACAAACCGAAAGCCACCTCTCCCCTGTAAGCATTGCAAGGGACCTCACTGGAACAGTGAATGTCCTACAAAGCCCTCGGGAAACGGCCCCAAACCTGCGGATCTTAGTCCAGTCCACGGGTCACCACACACATTCCGACGACCGCCCACTAGTCCCTTTACCTCTTATACTCAGCTATGATAATTCAGTAAATGAATCAACTGGCATTAAAGTAAACGAATATAGACTAGTAGACGACCTCGACACTTCTTGAAATTTATTCATGACACAAAGTACACCATTAGACCTAGTTAGAACAAAAAGCAATAACCATTTACTCGAACTGTCACCATCAATCACATCATCACCTCACCAAGTTAGCCCTAGCTCTGATATTCTTGACCAAAGAACAACTAGCGACTCAACTCACCCAAACATAGTTCGAGAAAATTGGTTAGAGCCCAACAATCTACTAGAAAACCTAAATGACGTTACAACCCCAATCTGTATCGAAGACCGATGTGTTCCACCTAAAAACGCACCGGGCTCCGAACAGACAACACTAGCTTCGACATACACAATGACTTTGATCATAAGAGTATAGAGAACAGCGAAAATACAGGTACGAATGAAACAAGACAGGACACTCGAATTGTTTTTCATTATGAAAAACCCGAGTGCTCTGGACTTGCATCCGTACGAACGGTATTAAATAGAAACCCTAACACAATACCAACTCCATGTATAGAGTTAGAATTCGATTCTGGTTTCGTCACTGCTCTTCTTAATTCTCAAGCACAAAAGTCGTATGTTAGGCCGGAAATTTCGAGAAAATTCGGAAAAACATTTATAGGACTAAATTCATTAGTTCGAATGGCAGACGGGCACACTCAAACAACCAGTGGCCACGCCGCATTCGTCGCTAGAGTCGCAGAAGTACAAATTAAATTTAATGCTTCGATTCTAGACAACCTGTACTGCGATATCCTATTAGGGCACGATTTCCTTGTAGAAAACGAAGTCGCTTGGGATTACTCCGCAGGTACAATCTACTTAGGGACCTCCAAACGAACATCCGTTTGTTGAGCAGCCACTAAGACAATAAGGGGACCCAAAAAGTTAGATTTTTCTGAAATCTAAATTTCGGGCGATCCTATGACTCAAAACCAACTAACAGAAGTCATCACCAGATATTCTGAGGTTTCCGATGGTTCAATAGGCCGCACGAAGCTGATATATCATGAAATTCGACTTAGGGACCACACCCCCATCGCTCTAAACCCATACCCTTATCCGGCTGAAAAACAAAACATCATAAACGATATGATAAGGGATATGGAGGAGCAAGGCCTAGTAGAACCGAGCACATCGCCCTGGGCCGCTCCTATAGTCCTTGCAAAGAAAAAAGATGGTTCGCCACGCCTTTGTATTGACTATAGACGACTAAACGAGTTAACGGAATCTGATGCCTACCCCATGCCAAACTTAAATGACATGATAAGGAATATGAGGGGCGCAAAGATCTTTAGTATACTAGACCTTAAATCTGGATACTTTCAAGTATCGTTGAACCCCAATTCTAGAAAGTACTCAGCTTTCCGTACTCGCAAAGGTCTCTACCAGTTCAGAGTTCTTCCTTTCAGTTTAAAGAATTCCCCCATGACTTTTGTTAGGCTCATGAACGAAGTGTTAAGAGGGTACATAGATGATTTTGTTCAAGTTTATCTCGACGATATAGTAATATATTCAGATAACCTTAGCAACCATTTAAACCACTTAGCTAAAGTCCTTGAACGTCTGAGCAGACATGGACTGACATGCCACCCCAAGAAATGTAGACTAGGGACAACCGAAATCTCTTTTCTTGGACATTTAGTGGATGCAGAGGGAATACAAAAACAACCCGAAAAACTCTCAGCTATTAGGGACTTCCCAAC